AAAAAAAAAAAAAAAAAAATCTCGTAACGCATGCTGAGCACCCACTAGGAGGTGTGCACATCTGTGGAAGACACACAACGGTGTGCAGAGAACCACTTACCTTTTCCTGCTTTTCCGAATCCTTGGAAGCAACTTTTGGGAGTTTATGGCTGACAAGCATTACGAAATAACTGCCTCTAGATGGCGGCAAAGTTGAACTTATTTTAGGTCTGAACCTACACTAGTTCATTTTAGCCTCAATTACAAGATGCTGAACCAAAAACATGTCACAGGACAGTCTGAACACCTCTTGGGATTGCACTTCCCACGTGTCGTGTTCTTTGGTTAATCTCTTGAGTGACGGGGATGTTGGGAAGAGATTATGGTCTCAGGTTTACCTTAAAGAAAATATGACCTTTCAAAGAATAACAGTAACAGGCCAAGTGCGCTGACTCAAGCCTGTCATCCCAGCACTTTGGGAGGCCGAGAAGAGGGGATTATCTGAGCTCACGGGTTCAAGACCAGCCCGGGCAACTGGGTGAGACCTCATCTCTACAATAAATCAAAAAATTAGCCGGGCATGGTGGCACATGCTACTTGGAAGGCTGAGGTGGAAGGATTGCATGAGACCAGAAGGTCGAGGCTGCGGTGGCCGGGAGCGTGCCACTGCATTCTAGCCTGGGCCACAAGAGTGGGACTCCAACTCAAAAAAATAATAATAACAATAACGATAACAACCACTACATCCGGCGCCTTTGGGAGGCTGAGGTTGAGTGGATTGCCTGAGCCCGCGGGTTCGAGACCTGTCTAGGCAACTTGGAGAGACCTCATCTCTATAATAAATAAAAAAATCAGCCGGGCGTGGTAGTGCATGCCTGTAGTTCCAGCTACGTGGAAGGCTGAGGTGGAAAGATCGCCGGAGCCCAGCAGGTCGAGGCTGCAGTGGACGGGAGCATCCACTGCACTCCAGTCTGGGTGACGGAGTGAGACTCCAACTCAAAATAAACAAACAAACAAAAACAACCACTACAAACTACCCA